TCCCTTTTACCTTGCATTTAAAGTGCCCTGGAGCTAGCTAACACCTGCTTTGATCAACTGTTCTCTCTACACTTGTGTTGTCCAATTCAACCACTTGTTTTACAGCTTTCTGTGGAGTGTTTCTTTGGTGCCTCTTCAGATTAACTTCCCCATTCACAGGAGTGTAACGAGGCCCTCTCTGTGATTTGGGGAGTCTTGCGTTCTTGGGCCTAGAGTCGGAAGCACGTCCCCGGTGAGTTATAGAGGCCTGTTCTATGTATTTCTGCTTACGCTTGTGGTGCTTACGTTTTACAACTTCCCATCCCTCGTCATTGTCCTCCTCCGTGATTGGGGGTCGTGAAGCTGGGGCTGGGGTGGCTGGAAGTTTTGGGGTCCGGAGCTTTAGCTTGATATATTTTGAAGAACCTCTAACTTTGAACATTTGCCTCAACCAGGCAAATGTTGCGGCACGGTGGCTGAGTGGATAGCACTCTCGCCTCTCAGCAAGAAGGTCCTGGGTTCGAATCCCGGTCGGACCAGGGCCTTTCTGAGTGGAGTTTGCATGTTCTCCCCGTGTCTGCGTAGGTTTCCTCCGGGTACTCCGGTTTCCCCTACCACTAAAAATATGTCCAATAGTTCTAGCATGCGCCTCCTGTACTGGCGACCCCGCTCCCATCTCTGTGTGGAGTGAGAGACAATTGCCCAAAATTAACAATTGTAAACCGCTTTGAGACTCAGATCTGCAGTGAAAAGGCGGTATATAAATAAAGATTACTACTTACTACTTACTTACCAGCTTAAACATGTTCATTCTCACATAAATGTTGGATACTTTTGGAATACACTAATTTGTGGAAGTATTTGGTCATTTTTTTTATTATTCTCTACTACTTTACTAAAATATAGAAAACATATTCATAAGTTGAAAACAGATAGAACTTTTAATTTTTCTAATCTCTCTCCAGAAATCATTTGCAGAAAAGAAAAGAATGGACGTATTGAGATGCACACCGGTCATCATCAGGGTGAAGCAGTGTTGGATATTCATAGGCTTTTGTTGTATTTTCATTTTATTGACTGATCTCATAAATTTGGTTTTATATTGAAAAACCCAATAATACATAATTATGTAAAACTCCATATATACCTGCGGTTTTGTCCCATCAAGAAAAGTCTTCACCAATTAAAAAAATTAAAAAATCCAATGGCAATCCACGACTGTATATAGGTGGACAATGCTAATATGTGAGCTCAATTAAGCCCAATAGGGAAATGCTCATGAGAGGTTGTGGGCTAAAAAAAATCCGGATTAACAATCCCTGTGTTGATCCTCAAAACCACGGTAGATATAGTAATGTACAAAAGACACAAAAACAACAGAATACAAAAAAGTGTATCTGTGTCGAAGCCCTGCTGCCATTGATCTGAAATATGCTTTTATATATTCTAAATACATATTTGAACTCTAATATCTAAACTAAATTGTATGCTATGTGTACATTTTACTTTGTAATGTTTGCTTTTTTAAAAACTCTTTTAAAAACTGTAGAGGGACAGCAGTTGGAAACGGGACACATTTCGGGCCTGATTTTCCAATCATCATAAAATAATCTCATAAAATATTTGTGCATTTGTGGTGTGTTCAGACTATAGTCTTTCAATCAGACCACTCCCTGTCAGAAAATCAAAAGAAAAAACAGGAATCTTTATCTATAAAGCACTTTTCATTCTATAAAGGCAACGCAGGTGCAAAAACAATCCCCATTGCCACCCACCCAACATACCCAACCCCCCTCCCAAGAGCCTGCAGAAAACAGTATATAAACACACACACACACACAGAAACAATGCTTACTCTGTGTTCCGATCTGCTGGCATGGCGTATTTTCTCCACGATTGAACTAGGCTTTTACCTGCTGCAACCTCCACTCCACGATCTCTGCCAGCTCTGCACTTTACCTTCAGGCTTGATCAAACCTTTGGCCCCGAGTCAGAGAAACCATCCCATTCATTCCAACTGCTCCTGCAAAACCATCTCCATCCCTCACCGTCTCCAACACTAATTACACATATTTATGTTGGACACACAGACCACGCACTAACATCTATTTCCAGAGCCTTAGAAGAAGCCATTTCAGAGATTGAAGTCCGGCTCGAGTTTTCTTGGGAGGATTGGATTTTTATGTAGCGCGACGTTAGCCTGCTTTCTTTACCATGATGGATGGTGACTTTGAAGTAGTCTTTCTTCTGCAACCCGTGAGTTTACCTCCGCGCTGGTGAGTTATTGGAGACTGGATAATACAGAGAAGACAACGTAAGCCCGCTCCCGTACCTCGCTACAAGAGCTTGGGAGTTATGGGATAACCCGGCTATCGGAGCTGTCTATATTCAGAGTGATCCATGTGTGGCCAAAACTCCATAGGGTCTAGCCAAGAACAGCCGATTACTCAAAGGAGCTTAGGAACCGCGGCCAAGCGTCTGGTCTTTTGTCGAGGAAAATCTCATTCATGACGATTTATTATTTATTTAACCAGGCTGAAAAATCCATCTAACTAGTTCCTTGCTCTCAAAACAGTATCGTTCCATCACTCGTTAACTAATTTATTTTTGGCCTCTGTCTCAGAGTTTAGATCAGCTTTTCCAGAGAAAAAAAAAACGGGAAAAAGAGAAGACCACCCTCACTCGTCAAGCAGTAACTCACAGGGCTCCTTCTTTCAAGTATATGCAAAGGATAACATTTTTCCAAAAAGATGAAAACAGCATGTCGTGATATTTGTTCACAAAGTGTTACTTTTACGATACTCTTTGTGTTGAGACAAACATGTAGAAATTATGCAACAAATGTCAGATACCCTAGCTTAAATAAAACAAACTAATACATACACAGGTTTTTTTGTTATTCCTCACCAAAGAAGAAAAAAAAATTGGATGATATGTGTTTCCTAAGGACCATTTGACCGTTTGCAGCCATCCCACTGTGGCACATGGTTTCCCCGGCAGACTCCCATCACAGCACTAACCTGTTTAGCTTGTGAGAGCTGACACATTTGGTGATAGATATTGTTGGTGGCATGAGCTCTATATTCCAATCACATTTGACGGATGTGTGGACAGTCCATTCTTTGCTTTTATTTCCACAAATAGTGAAAAAAATGCCGTAAGAAGTCTGTCACATTACCTATGGTGTGTTGACATTTTGAATTTCACAGTGTAACCTAAGACCAGTGAGAGCCATCCCTATTTGGTCAAGTGGAATGGTATGAAGCACGACCAAAAAGTATATTTTTCAGTGAATGGAATCAACACAATTAGGATAAAACACAACATCTAATTTCTTTTAGTAATTATTGAATCAATTTATGTCAAGTCCATTCCCATAGTATTAGACATGGGCCAAGTTGTCATCCTTTCTGACCCTTTTTGCCATAAATCTCATATAAAAAAACAAAATCCTTTCAATATCGCAAAGCCAAGCCAAGGAGTTCAGCCCAAATGGATACAAACGATATCCGGCTGAACACTGACGCAGGCAAAGTCTCAATCTTAATCTTGTTAGATATAAGTGCTGCCTTTGACACTGTCGACCATGAGATCCTCTTACAGAGACTAGAGGACTGGGTTGGAGTCGCTGGCACCGCCCTAAGTTGGTTTAGGTCTTACCTTGAGGACAGGAAGTACTTTGTGGAGATTGGAAACTGTGTCTCAGATCATATGGCCCTGACCTGTGGAGTACCACAGGGGTCGATCCTGGGACCTCTTCTGTTCAATCTCTACATGCTTCCGTTAGGTCAGTTAATACGCAGAAACAAAGTGTCCTATCATAACTATGCAGACGACACTCAGATCTATGTCTCACTGACTGCAGGAGAACATGGACCAGTGGACTCACTCCTTCACTGTATCCAGCAGATCAGTGGGTGGATGCAAAACAACTTCCTTCAGCTAAACGCAGACAAAACTGAAATGATTGTCTTTGGTCCCCAGAAACAAAGAGAGAGCGTCATCTGTCACCTACAGTCTCTGTCCCTAAAACCTTCAAACAAGGTCAGAAATCTAGGGGTAATACTGGACTCAGACTTAAATTTTAATAGCCACATCAAATCAGTAACATCAGCAGCTTTTTACCATCTAAAAAACATTGCCAGGATCAAAAACATAGTGTCTAAAGCAGACTTGGAGATTCTTATCCATGCATTTGTCTCCAGTAGGTTAGACTACTGCAATGGCCTGCTCACAGGTCTGTCCAAACAGGCTGTAAAACAGCTGCAGTACATTCAAAATGCAGCAGCTCAAGTCCTGACTAGAACCAGGAAGTACGACCACATTAGTCCAGTCCTCAGGTCTTTGCACTGGCTTCCTGTGGCTCAGAGAATAGACTTTAAAACAGCTCTGCTTGTGTACAAGTCTCTCCATGGCCTCGCACCAAAATATATTAGTGACATGTTAGTCCCATATGAACCAGCCCGGACTCTGAGGAGCACAGGGACTGGACTCTTGTTAGTGCCCAGAGTCAGAACTAAACATGGGGAGGCTGCTTTTCAGATTCATGCTGCTAAAATCTGGAACAGTCTTCCTGAAGATGTGAGACAGGCCTCCTCTCTGACAATGTTTAAAACCAGGTTAAAGACAGTTCTGTTTAGCTGTGCATACAACTGAGGGATTTTATATTTGTATCTTTCTTTTTAATGTTCTTTGATTATTTATGATTTTAATGCTTTCTTATTTTGTTCAGCACTTTGAGTTGCCTTGTGTATGAATTGTGCTATATAAATAAACTTGCCTTGCCTTGCCTTGCCTTACCTCTATACAAAATAATATGAACAAAAAATATTACTCTTCAAATATAAGTGATTAATTTGTCACACGTTTTGCCTGTATTATTTTATTTGGATACAGTGTGCATTTCGTAGAGGGATTTGGCTTCATTGATACGCTTTTAAGTGTTTCTGTCTGTAATAATGTTGCGAGAAAAACTACAACTACAAACTGTATACAACATTTCAATGCGTTTTTCTCCTTACCTTTGTAGCTCAACTTGACTCTGGGCACGCTCTGTTTGACGCCTGCACTGTCAGCCAGTCCAACGAACAGCAGCATCAGCAGCAGCACGTGGAGAAGGCCAGTCCAACGGCAAGCGCCAACACAGCCGGACATTCTCCCAACTGCCTGGTCCCGTATCTCTGTGTCCCGATGCCCTCAGCCCTGCAAAAGAAGAGCAGCCGTGAGCCGTCCGGTGATTCAGCAGCCTTCACCAGGGAGCCCGGCAGGAATGTCCCCCTTCAGTCCTACTCTTTGTACATCAGCTGTTGCCTTCCCTTTGTCACTGGCTCCAATCTGTTTGCGCATAAACAAAGGTCATCCCAAAAAGAGTTCCTCCCCCGCAACAATGATTTTAGACAATAAAAAAAAAGAAAAATATTAAGTAATAAATGCTTGAATTGAGTGGTTTTTGTCTTAGTTGAGTACATTCTGACTGTCTTAAAACAAGATTTGCCGATGGGAAGAAGCCATTTAGCCTTATTTCAAGAATTGTTGCTATATATGTTTTCTCATTCCAAGAGAGACATTTCTTGTGTCTTCTTAAAACAAGATAATTTTGCTTGTCCCATCGACAAATCTTGTTTTAAGGCAGTCAGAATGTGCTCAAATTAAGATGCATTTTGCCAATTTTTAGTAATTCTTTGACTTATTTTTCATCACTTTTTGCAGTGTAGGAACAAATAAATCGTCAAAGCCCGTTCTCAATTCCACTCGGAGATTCGGCTGATGGACTTGCATGCGAGTGTTTCTGGTTTGAAATGAGCATGGTACGGCATAGCTTTGGGATCGAGAGAGCAAAATGAAGGCAAATGACCCAAGGCTTTTTAATGAGGATGGCAACATTATTAACAAAGAAATTGCGTACTCTATAGGCCTTTATACACATGGATAATAGCGTCTTTGCAAAACAAGTATTTGACAAATTATTGAATCATTTTTTTTCATTTAGAACAGGGATTTGGCAAGAAAGCTAGGGTGGTGACCTTTTAAGCACTCGGCATACATCTTTAGTGCATATTGTGGTGTCACTTCTGAAGCGTTTGGGTTTAGTGATGCAGAGAGAGACCAAATATAACATTTTGGACAAAAGAGGTTTTCAGTCTTTGTTGCGTAAATGTGCATCTCAAGAAACATTTTTTAAACTTTCTTTTTATACTTTAGAAATGTTTCATTATGCCTTATTCTTTCTCTACTTGACTTGTTTGCACGAGAGCCAAAGCAACTACTTACATGGAAATAAAAATGATTCCGATTCTGATTTACTGATATGTTTTCATCACTTTCAACTCCATTTAAGAGACAGAAATCACCTTCTAGAAAGCGGTCAAATCAATGCTAAAATGCCCCAGAAATAATATTATAAACAAGTTTCCCATCTTGATTTTAATCTTAGTTTTACCTCACGCTGCACTGTAAAAGGGAACAAGCATGACTGAAAACTTTTACAAAAACATTTATGCACACACTAGACTCATACTAGGCAACGACTGTTATCTTTATTTATTCAAGTAAATAAATAATCTTTATTTATTAGAGGTGCAACGGTTCATCACTGATCCGTGATCCGTTCGGTTCAACGTCTTCGGTTCGGTACAGACGTGATCCGCGGTTTGATTTATGAAAAAAAGGTTGTGCGCACGTTGTTCAGTCCACACACAGCGCGGTCATTGCGAGCGGAGGAACGGAGATGCTTGAAAGCCCCGCGTCATTTAAATCCCCAGTATGAGAGCATTTTGGCTTCACTGTAACTACACTGATAATTAATATTCGACAAAACTGTCACGATGTGTAAGCACTGTGGCACAAGAAAGACATGAGTGAAAAAAGCGTCTCAACGACCACCTATTGTCGCGGCATTTAAGCAGCTCCTTTACGCACAGTCAGACCGGGCTAAAGTCAACTCTCCCGCACATCACAGCTGCGCTCACGACTGACGCTTGGACGTCCCGCGGAACCTATAATAGATCCATGAGCGGAACCGCTCACTTCATCACCGCAGACTGGGAGATGAGAAGTCTGGCGCTGAAGACACGCCCCCTCTACGACAGTCACACAGTCACCCAGCGCAGGTACTGACACAAGCAGCGGAGGAATGGAAGACAAAGGCCCAGTACTAATATCCCAGTCACAACTGATAATGCCAAAGATTTAATAAATGCAGTGAATGAGGCTGGGCCCAGAATGGACCCCCTCCTTGGGAGAATCAGGAAGGTGGTTTAATATATGAGGGTAAATATCCTCATAAAGGGCCTTCTTATGTTGCACTTTGTGTCGTTTTTCATTAATTATGTTAAATAGACATAATTGGATGGATGGAATATGCCTTCCATCCATCCATCCATTTCCTTCCCCTTAATTCATTTCTAGGTCAGGGGGGGGCAGTCAGAGCAGGTGCCAAGTCCACATGAGCCGTGTTTATTAAAAAGACAAAACTTTTTTTTTGAAAAATGAACCGAAAAATGAACCGAACCGTGGCCTCTGAACCGAGGTACGAACCGAACCGTGATTTTTTCAAACCGTTGCACCCCTATTATTTATATAACGGCATTCACACACCAAAGTTCTTTACAATTTACAATTTTTCTCTCACTCCACACAGAAATGGGTAATAGAAAGAGTGGTAGGGGAAACCAGAACACCCGAACGAAACCTACGCAGACACGGGGAGAACATACAAACTCCACTCAGAAAGGCCCTGTTCCGACCGGGTCTCAAACCCAGGACCTTATTCCTGAGAGTACTATCCACAGAGTTAAGTGTCTTTCCAAAGGACACAAGAACAATTTATCACTTTCAAACCTCCACCAGCAGTCTCCCATCAGAGCACTATTCAAGACCTCCACTGCTTTGCTTCCAAATCGTTACGGCATCAGACTTTGACAAGGATATGGCCACATGCAATGATGTATTCCAATGACATCACATTCAAACTATAATGTTTTTCAATATTTTTTGCAAAAGAGAAAGCGCTCATGTTTTTCTTTTCAGGAACAGCACTTGGCAAACCATTCAGTTATATTTGTATATGAATCCGCATTGTTGATTCAGATGCCAAGTTCTCAAAGACAAACTTGGCAATGAGCGCAAGAAGAGAACTGTAATCCTCACTATATAAATGTTTTTGGATTACACATGCACGTTGGCCAATAATCTCCCTTCCGACCAATTTGGAATTTCGCAGAGAGCCAAGTGGCAGAGCTCCAGGCACACGCTCGCTGAGATAAACAGACAATGATGACAAAGTGGTGAGATACGGAGGTGTGTGAGATGTCCCGGCCGCGGGGCAGACACCAGGAGGTCCTCAGGGGTCAGTACTGGGACATGTTTACGAGCAGAGGTGACAGAGATGGTGGAAAGGAGATTTGTGGCCATTTGTTTCACATTACAAACATTCACAGGTTCAGAGGCGCTGTAAAAGAAATGCGTTGAGTGAAACAAAAGAGGATACAAAGAAATGTTTGGATGAAGGACGTCCCTGGTCAATCTCTTTGTCAATAAAAAGACACAATTACAGTTTTGGTCTTACTTTAACGCAAAACAACCAACGCAACTTCATACCAATGTTTTTCGTAATCAAAATGATAATGTTTCTACCTAAATAATAATTAAGCTATAGAGTCGGTGGAGAAGGTCTCGTGGTGGGCTCAAACCCACAACCGTCAGGCTCAAAGGCTAATTGTTATGGCACAAAATGGGACCCAAAAAACATAAAGATAGAAATTTATTAAGGAGGGGGAGTGCTGGAGGGTCCGGAGGCAAGGAGGTCAAAAACAGGAACACAGGAACCGCAGATGAAGACGAAACAATATGGCACCAACAGGTTGTAGAGCTGGGTTCTTGTAGAGAGTAGGTGATTGCCTCCAGTTGTGCAGTGCAGGCCCCGCCCCTGCCCTCACATAGAGGAAAGGGAGGGGGAGTAGAGCAGGCAGCAGAGGCACAGAATGTGACACCAATGCTCTACCAACTGAGCCACTGGTTTGTAAAAAAATAAACAATAAAAAAGGTTTTTCAAATCCACCAAACAAAATAACAAAAGTTAGTCTGCACATGTTTTGAAAAGAGGGTAGATGAAGCAAACTCTTAAAAAATACCAACAAATACAACAATACACAAACAAACACGCGCTGACCCAACACCCACTCCATCATTCTGTGCTGAAGGAATCACTATTATTCCTCAGTGTCTTTTTTTAACCACTTTTATTTTTAATTATTTTATACAATCAAGTTTGAATATGTTTCTTAAATCAGCTTAAAAGAACGGTATTTTCCAGACTATAAGCCGCACCTGATTATATACTAACCATCCCACGTTGTAATATTGAAAATGTGGCTCAAAACTTTGTTCTTATTACTGTAAGAAGTGAGTTACCGGCTGTTCTTAATCTTCCAGTGAAAGCAGAAAGTGAAGGAGCAACGTCCACCAGTACTCTATTCACTTTCATGTCTATACAGAGAGCCAAAAAGCAATTTATATTCTTTTCTTTTTGTATTTTCTATGTTGGGTGAGTATAAATGACGCCTCCAAAAAAAGTAATAAATATAAAATATAAGCCAAAGTATAGGTTCAAAGTTTTAAAAAAAATACAGTAGCTCCACGCACTGCGATACACATTTTTGCTTGGGTCTTTGCCTGTGTACCGCCTGAACTTTTAACTTAGCTGCGGTTTGACTCCACAAATATCAGATTTAGTTTGTATCCACTTTGCCCTTGCCATAATCCCCATGTTTGTGTGATTATAGGTGCAGCAAGAGAATGGCGGCCCCCTGCACCGAGAGACCTTCACTGTCCTGATTCAGCACCACACACACTGCGCTCCGTATCAAACACACTCATAAGAACAAAATACAACAATACAACATGGCAAGTGTATCCCGTTATTGGCGACAGATGACACGGATTAATGGCACTGAATCCAGTCTTTATCTTTCTTCCACACTGCAAAATATGATCAAATATGAGATCATAATTGCTAGAATCGAGTTTTTTTTAACTTGACTTAAGTTCATTCTGACTGTCTTAAAATGAGATTTGCCAATGAGACAAGCAATTTTGACTTGATTCAAGAACTATTGCTTTATTTTCTCATTCCAAGAGAAAAATATCTTGTGTCT